TGTTGATGGACATCTGGGCTCTTTCTGTAGTTTGGCTATTGTAGACATTGCTGATATAAACACTGGGGTGCAGGTGCCCCTTTTGATCACCATAGTTGTACCTTTCAGTGCAATTGCTGGGTTTATAACCCAGCATCAGGGTAGCTCTATTTTCAGCTTTTTGAGGAATCTCCATACTATGTTCCAGAGTGACTGCACCAGCTTGCATTCCTGACAGCAGTGCAAGAGGGTTCCCCTTTCTCTGCATCCTCGCCAACATCTGTCATTTCCTGACTTGTTAATTTTAACCATTCTGACTGGTGTAAAATGGTATCTCATTGTGGTTTTGATTTGTATTTCCTCGATGCCAAGTAATGTCGAGCACTTTTTCATGTGTTGGCCATTTGAATGTCTTCTTTGCAGAAATGTCTGTTCATATCGTCTGCCAATTTCTTGATTGGATTATTTGTTCTTTGGGTGTTGAGTTTGGTAAGTTCTTTATATATTTTGGATACTAAATCTTTGTCTGATAAGACATTTGCAAATATCTTCTCCTATTCTATCAGTTGTCTTTTGGTTTTGTCGACTGTTTCCTTTGCTGTGCATAAGGTTTTTTTTCCCTTCATGAAGTCCCAATAGTTCATTTTTGCCCTTTCTTTCCTTGCCTTTGGCAATGTTTCTAGGAAGAATTTGCTGCGGTTGAGGTCGAAGAAGTTGCTGCCTGTGTTCTCCTCAGGATTTTGATGACTTCCTATTTCACATTGAGGTCTTTCATCCATTTTGAGTCTGTTTTTGTGTGTGGTATAAGGAAATTGTCCAGTTTCATTCTTCTGAATGTGGCTGTCCAATTTTCCCAATACCATTTGTTGAAGCGACTTTTTTCCCATTGGACATTGTTTCCTGCTTGGTCCAGGATTAGTTGACCATAGAGTTGAGGGTCCATTTCTGGGCTCTCTGTTCTGTTCCATTGATGTATGTGTCTGTTTTTACGTCAGTACCACACTGCCTTGATGACTATAGCTTTGTAATAAAGCTTGAAGTTTGCAATTGTGATGCCACAAGCTTCGGTTTTCTTTTTTGCTATTCAGGGTCTTTTCTGGTTCCATACAAATTTTAGGATTATTTGTTCCAGCTCCATGAGAAAAGTTGATGGTATTTTGATAGGGATTGCATTGAATGTATAGATTGCTCTAGGAAGCATAGACATTTTAACAACATTCATTCTTCCAATCCATAAGCATGGGACATTTTTCTATTTCTGTGTCTTCCTTGATTTCTTTTTTTTTTTTTTAAGATTTTATTTATTTGAGAGAGAGAGCAGGAATGGAAGTGGGGAGGGCAGAGAAAGAGGGTGAAGAAGACTCCCCACTGAGCAGGGAGTCCAATGCAGGGCTCCATCCCAAGACCCTGAAATCATGACCTGAGGTGAAGGCAGATGCTTAACTGACTGAGCCACCCAGGCACTTCCCTTCCTCAATTTCTTTCATGAGCTTTCTCTAGCTTTTTGACTTCAGGTCCTTTGCCTCTTTGGTTAGGTTTATTCCTAGGTATCTTGTGATTTTTGGTGCAATTGTAAATGGGATCAACTCCTTATTTTCTCTTTCTTCTGTCCCTTTGTTCGTGTGTAGAAATGCAACTCATTTCTGTGCTGGGTTAGATGCTTTAATCCAGACTTTCTTCTAGATATTTTTATGGTTCTGTGTTAAAGTTTACATCTTTTTTTTAAAAGATTTTATTTACTTATTTTATTTACTTTTATTTACTTGTTTATTTATTTACATATTTAAACCCTAAAGTTTAAATATTTAATTTAGATGGAACTGGTGGATTATATAAAGGAAATAATCAGCCTTATCTGTTTAAAAATGAATAGAGAAATAGTTAACCTTAAAATCAAGCCAAATAAAAGAAACAAAATTTATCCAAATAAAAACAATGTAACAAAATGCAATACTTAAATATTTAAATAATTTAAATTTGTTCATTATTATTATTATCATTAATAACTACAAAGTACCAATTAGCTAGAATCAATATGCCAGAATCTATTGGTAGGTCAGAATCTGTGTTAAATACGCAAAATATTAGTACTAATGTCTCCCTTTTGCTGACAAATGATGTGAATCTTGCAATAGGCCACATGATTTGGATAATGCCACACAACCAATAAGTGGTAGAATCAAGATTAGTTATTAATATCCTAAACTAATTCTGTCTTCTTTTTTTAATAAATGTAATGAGCTCCATTTATGATCCAGCTACAAATAATTATCAAGTTATTCTCCATTTTAGCCTTAGCTAGATGGATATAATTTTGGATGTGACTAAATTTAGATCTAATAAAAATTTCTAAACCTTGTGCTCGCTTCGGCAGCACATATACTAAAAATTTCTAAACCTCTAAAAGAATAAAATTCTTCATCAATAGTTTTGCTCTGTGAATTACAATAAAAAAAAGAATAGCAATTTTGTTTGGGAATGGAATATTAAAATTTTTAGAATCAAAATCCTCTTAAAAATTATTGTGTTTGAAACACAAAAGTATGAATTATTTGCTAGCTACTGTTGGGAATGTACTATTGGGAATAATTAGGAAATTATAGATTGCAAGAAAGGGAGGTAAAAATTATAGAGTAAAACTGGATGTTTAGGACCTGAATTTGGGGAGAGAAAAGAAGAAAATACACTTAAACCTTGGTTCTGCTCTTCTGTGTCTGTTGGTGGGAAGGGCAATACTTATATAGGACAGAACTGTGTTCTTGGATACCAGGAATCAGCTCTGTTTAGATCTATTTCAGAATGAAGTCCACATGAGCAGGTACAGGCCAAAGAGCTAGAAGAATATTTTAAAGCAGTCTCAGAATTCTACTTTTAATGGGGTGCCTAGGTGGCTCAGTCAGTTAAGCATCTGACTCTTGATTCTGGCTCAGGTCATGATCTCAGGGTCATGAAACTGAGCTCCACGTCAGGCTCCGTACTGAGTGTAGGGCCTGCTTAAAATTCTCTCCTCTCTCTACCATTCTCCCTGCTCATGCGCTCTCTCTGTCCCTCTTTCTCTCTAAAACAAAAAATGCTACTTTTTATTTTTACCAAGATGTATAAGCAGTCTTGGTCTTTCTGTGACTTCCTCTCCACTAACCTAGAGCTTTTGGCTCAGGAATGTAGTAGAGTCAGAAACAGGACAAGAGGAAAGCTGGGGTGAACCTCAGAATGAAGCTGGATAAAGGTTGTTTTAAAAATGTTTTGACATTTGATGCCTCTGTCAAATTCCCAGCCTAGAACCAGTGCTAAAACTATACAGTCCTGCCTAAGTTAGTGAGTGGGTTGGAATTTTAGCCAGTGTACCAACAAAAAGCTACTCAAAGAAATGGTATTATGTTAATTTTTAAATTTAAATTGTATTAAAGTTTCTAAATTTCTAAAACAGAGCAGATCATGTCATTCCAGGACACTAGAGAAATAAAGCTATTATTTTTAGCATTCAGGGTTCAATAAGGAGATATAAACACATAGTAATTTGAATAGGAAAAGTTTAATATAAATAATGAGTAGCAGAGGATTAGAGTGTTGTTGGGAAATTGGCAAGTAAGAGTTAACAAGGACACTGAAGAATATGTGAATAGTAGGTATGGAGCAGCCAGTACTGCTAGGCCTGAGACAGAATGCTCAAAGAAGAGGCCTGACCCAAGGCTGAGATCAAAACCACATCAACAAGGGCACAGCCATGGCTCACTGGATGTTGAAGAAGTCCCTGAGGCAGTTCAACTCACAGGATTTACTATAAACCTGCCTTTGGAGCACCAGGAGAAGCTGTCCATGGGGAGGGGCCAAGCTGGTGACACTCCACTATAAAGCCACCCACAAGGAACATGCTCAAGGAAACCATTCGTATGAAGGTGCCCTACACCAATACTCTGCTCTGAAGTTCCCTGAGGTGGGTACCTGGTGAAAAACTGCAGATCTGGAGCTGAGAGGGACTACCTCAATAACTTCCATGTTCTGTGTTATAGGTTGAATTGTGTCCCCCCCCAGAGTACATTGCTGCGTTGTATAGACATGTTCAACTTCAGTAGTTACTGCCAGTTTTCCAAAGTGCCAATCTCCTCATTTTAATGACTAAGAAAACTTATGTAGGTATCACTTTGATATTTATCGCAGCATTACTCATAATAGCCAAGATATGGAATGACCTAAGTGCCAGCTGATGAATGGATAAAGACGATGTGATATATACAATGGAATATTCATCAGCCATAACAGGGAAGGAAATCCTGCCATTTGCTATGACATGGATGGACCTTGAGAGCATTATGCTAAGTGAGATTAGTCAGACAAAAGACAAACACTGCATGATATCACTTATATGTGGAATCTAAAAGAGCTGAACTCATAGAAACAGAGAAAGGAAGGTAGGTAATCAGGGGCTAGAGGATGAGGGAATTGAGATATTGTTGACTGGTGTAAATTGGCAACTATTAGATCAATGAGTCCTGGAGACCTAAAGTATAGCATAGTGATTATAGTCAACAATATATTACATACTCGAAAGTTTTTAAGAGAGCAAATCTTAATCTCCACAAAAAAAGACATAATTATATGATGTGGTAGAGGTGTTAGTGAATGCTATGATTTCATATTGCAATAGATAAAGTAACAAAGCAATATGCTGTATGTCTTCAATTTATACAATGTTACATATCAGTTATACCTCAATAAAAAGTAATTTAATTTAATTTAATTTAATTTAAAATTAATAGAAAGAAAGAAAAAACTGATGCCCTGAAATGCTAGACTGTATCATAGCAATTAATTGGAAAGAATTATTTTTGGTCTTAGAAAACTTGTACTTTAAAGTCAAAACCCCACAGGAAAGTATTGAGTTAAGTTAAATTTTAAACTTCTGGGCACAGGGATATATTTGTGTAGCAAAAGCATTTCTTGCTCTCAACAATAAGAATACTTGTCAGAATCTAGGAACAGAAAAATATACGACTAAAAGCTATGACTTACAAAGTCCTTACCTTCGAATAAATGCAGCTGTCAGTTCCAAACACCCACTTTTGAGAATTATCTCCTTTATGTCTGTAATGAAAATGTAATTTAGAGACTGACAACTTTTCATCACACTGAAACATTTTCTAGGTTTCAAATGAAAGGATCATTTTCCATATCCTGGCAGAAGGAGGACTGCCCAGACTCTCCCAAGGATTCTACCATTCTACCATCATTGCTGCATCAGCAACGGAAGCCTTCCTTCCCTAAGACAACTGATTTCCTTGGTACCCAAAGTGGTGGTGGTGGTGGTGGTGGTGGTATGTGTATTACCCATGACAACAATGATTAGGAGCTTTAGAGATTAAAGAGAATCAATAAAAATATTATAGAAATTTCTGTCCCCAAAGAAGATCCTCTCTTTATGAGGCAAAAAGAGGCTTAATTAAGTATAAGGATTAAGTGGATAGGATGGAAGAAGATACCATGGAAAATGAGGAACCTTGGACACCTGTTTCTGAAATGACCAGAAAATTTTATTACGGAATATCAGATTTTCTAAACCAAATATGAGTTAAAAAAAAAAGAAAGAAAGAAAGAAAGAAAGAGAGAAAGAAAGAAAGAAAGAAAGAAAGACTAGAATGTGATTAACTTAATCATGCCTAAATTAATCTTGTATTCACTAATATTTAGAAACCTTACATAGACAGGACAAATGTATTAAATTAAGTGTAATAGGATGTTAAACACGATTTTTCCTACTGCCTCTGAGTTTTGACAGAAACTTCAATGGTTGGGAATAAGAAATGTCAGGTAATGCTCTATTAAAGTGAGGCACTTTATGATCTGGGTAGAACATGTCAAGGTAGCTTTCCAAAACTGGCTGAGTGTGCATTAGCCTTTTACCCACATCCAGTTTATATTAGAAAATGTGAAGAATTCTTGGGCATGGTGAAATAGACGCTTGATAATACTGTAGGTTTCCAAGCCCCTATCCTCAGAACTTTGATTCTGAAGGTCTGGACGCCCCCCCCACCCCCATCTACATTAACAGGTATTGCAAGTGATTACCATTGTTAAGAACCCTAGGGAATTTGAATGTGTGTGGTCTACAGATAAGACTTTTAAAAACACTGAACTACAGTGATGAGAGCAATGGGGGAAGGAAAGACTACATACTTACTATGAAAGGAGAATTGATTTGGTGATTGAATAAATGGAATGCAGGTTAGAAACAGAAGGCAAGGATAAATTCCAGATGTCAAATTTGAGGAAAGAAGAAGGGAACGTGACACTATGAAAAGAAAGTGAATTTAGAATGTAGAAGAGGAAGCAGAGATATGAGAAAACATGAATACTTAGGTAAAGTTTTTTTTATGAAACATCTTTCAAGGTCTAAATGATCCCTAAGCTAAGAATCTTGTTATCAGGCTTTAGACAAATATAATTGTTGCTCTATTTCAGCACTGGGTAGGATGGGGGAAGTATGAGGAGAAATAGTCCTTTTGGAGACCTTTTTATGTTGTAATTAATAAAGGAAAAGAAGAGTTTTCAAAAAGTTTTTGACTTAGGGTCCTGAGCTAAAATGTATGACTTAGAAAATGGAATTCATTATCCAAAACAACAACAAATAGACTGAGAATTTGAAGGGAACTGAGATGAATAAAGTGCAATAAAGAGAGATGAAGTGAGCTGGTCAAAAATCAAAGAGCTAGGTAGTATCAAATAGATAGTAGAACCCAGAGCACCTGAATTTCTGCATGTCTTCTCAATTAGATTAGAAAAGTATAACACAAATTACTTTGTGTTACTTGAAGATTGAAAATGGAATCAACAGTTTAGGCTCACTGGTTAGAATCTGATACATAATCTTAGTGACTTAACACACTTTAGTGTGAATATAGAATTTTTTATACAGTTGTGTTCATATAATCAATAAATATTCTCATACTATACAAATTCTCCTGAGGTACCAAAAAAGCTCATGTTTCAACCATTGGGTTGTCAATCCCAAGCTTATAACTACACTCCTTTTAAAAATAATAATAGAATGACTGCTGTAATGCTTTGATGGAAGTGTGCTGGGTTTTGATAAAACTTAGATCATTTTAATGCAGAACAGCTATAACTCAGTACAACATTATTGCATATAGGCAATTCCTCCTGTTGCATAAATTATTGTGAGCATATTTCTTCAAGATAAATAAAGTGGAAAATGATAATTTTTTAAAATGTAAGACATCTGCAATTGGTAATTAATATACTAATGCTAACTGTCAAAAGCTATAAAATCCAGAATTTTGTCTTTTAATTGAATTATCATGTTGACTAGAGGATGAATGTGATTATAAAAACATAAACTACATCTATTTCAGTTTTGATTTTCTGATTTGTCGCATCTTTTCCCCAAATAATATTACAACAGGAAAGATGTTTACCAGATTGTCAACGGTATGAGGGCAGAAACCACAAGTGTCCTAAGAACTGATTACAGTGCCTATGATAGGAGATTAAAGATATCTTTGAATAAATAGATATGTGAATAAAATGTCAAAATGTAATCACCCTAAAAATTAATAAGGCCGTTATGAAAAATGTTTTGAATTTAATATACAGCGGCTTAGGAGATATTCTTAGTGGGTAGCTAAAGAACATAAATTATACCTCGATTAAGAAAATAAGGAATAATTCTGAAAGAAATGCAAATTTCCTAGCATTTCTCAAATTTTATCATAGCTCAAATTCTGTTCAAGAATTGCCTTTTTGGAAATTTTGCAAACAGCATGCAGGAAATTTTGCAAACAGCATGCAGTTTCAAATCATATATAAGCCTTGTGAGCTTGCTAGTAATTTCCTTATCAAGAGTCTTTCTAAGCATTTATCTATAAACGTTACCTTTAAATTTTATTACCAAAGTTATAAAAAACAAGATTCTCATGTGGCATCTACACTAAGCAGGGGAGAAGATATCATTCTAAAATATAGTGACTTCTTTAAAAAATAAAATTGCACAAACATAAGTACATCTGTTTATTTTTAAAGATATTTTATATGTAGAAAAATCAAACTTAGATCCAATATGCAATGATGTTTATATGGGACTGAATTAGAAAATAGCATAGAATTTCCTCTTTTTGGTAAACAAGCAGCAAGCTTAAAAGATTTTTTATAGAGAAAAACAAAACTAAAAAATAGCAATAACAATATCAATAATGAAAGAAAGAGAGGAAAATGAAGAAGCAGTATTCCATCCAAGAATCAAAGTTATAAATAGCATAACATGTACTGGACTAAGTTCTGGATCTGGATCTGACATTAGCTAGATCAGATATATGACCTTTCTAGAACATTTAGTCTCTAGTGGACTTGGAATTTCTTATAGAGATAATTACATTATTATCACTATCACAACCACCACTATCACCACTGTTACTACTTCTACTTGTAAAGAAGGGTTTAGAAGAGATGCTCTTAAGAGTCCTTCCTTCTCCGAAAGCATAGGACTTCCAAGACTAGTCACATACTCTCTTTTTACAAGTAAGGAGAGAACTAAGCCCTGAGAAGCTTGCTCATTGAGTATGCATATGCACTTTCCTATTTCTATTGGGAATCTACAAAGTGTGTATACACACACATACACATGTGCATACACACATACATTTTTTTTTAAATACACCATTTATCAGACAGTAGAGACCATAAGGCAGCCCATAATCACAGTTCAGTTAGGGGAAATTTCATAAGCTAAAGCTCATTATTTCCCAGTTGACTATAAGGAGGACTATTATATCATGCTTCACAATTACAAATCTATTTTCCCAGATAGCTTCAGATATGTCTGGATATTCCAATGCACACAGATCAAAAGTAGGATCCATAAAAAACAGAGGAAAGGGATTTCCCCTCCATGATTCTTAACACAGTAGGAGTAGAGATAAGAAATTTGATCCATCAATCCAACTGTGAAGTTACATATAGACAATTTTCTACTTGATGTTGACATTTCTAATAGTGTTATCTGTGTGTTTGAATATTACTTAAACGCCAAATGGTCCTTTCTACAATGGGGCAGTCTGTCATTCTGCTTTATTCTCTTAGCCTCCTAAACTTCAGGACCTGACCAAAGAGATGACTTTCAATCTCTCTAATTACCTGGTGATGTGCTGTTTTCCCTTCTATCTGTCTTTTCATCTTCTGCACCTAGCACTACACAGCTACACTTGGTGGTTATAGTTAATGGTGTCCTTAGAGCAGTGTTTGTTTAACCTACTCTAGATTAATGTTGGCAGGTTATCATTCTATTTCCAGCAAGACCTAAGTGGGGAAAATAAAAAGAAGATGCAAAACACCATAACTGAAAAATTAACATTGAAATAAGACAGTAAATAAATAAATAAATAAATATTATATTTGTTGTGTGATTTCTACTTTGAAGGGAAAAAAAAGAAAGACAGTAAAGATTATCAGACAGGGATTAGAAATGAATGAAGCAGGCTAGAGCTAGAGTGAGGGCTACTATTGGGAACAGTAGAAAGTAGAGCAAACCAGAGGATATATTCCATCTGAATCTGTTCCTGCCTCACTGGTAAAATGAGATGATGAGAGTTCAGTACTGCCCATTCTTCTGATTTTTTGCAAGAAAAGACAGAAATATGTTACTTTTGTGTAAAATCTCCCTATTTCTATAGGCTCACGACCAATTCAAAATATTACAATAATGTGCAGGCCAAACAAAATCCATGGGCCCAATTTTGTAGTCTCCATAATCTAACCTCTGTGTGTGGATGAATGGGGGTGCTGCCCTAATTAGATTGTGAATTGAACAGTAAAAGCCAAATCCTACATATCCATATTCTTTAAAACTGAAGCAAAATCAAGATTTAATTGGTGGCCTTATTAAAAGACTTTGATGCAACTGATTTGTCTATAAGATGTCCAAAATATCTTTTAGAAAGAAGCATTTTTTATTTTAAGGTTTATGATTTTTTAATTTTCTATGATTTTCAGATCATTTGGTAATGACATCGTTGGTTTGCCTTTCATCTACTCATAGTCAGATGCACATAACAGAAAAAATATTAATAAACAAATATGTGCAAGCACTTGCTATACTAAATAAGAATGAGTGATACCAAAGGAGACATAACCAAACAAATGAGGCATGATATGTTTGCAATATTCTCTGTGAGTTGTCAGGTTGCTACTTTAAGTGTTAGTTCTATTGTTTTTAGTATTGAAAAGACTACGTCTTGATTCATAGTTTTTGTTAAAATCGTATTACACTACGTAAGAGAAAAGGAAAAAATATTGTCTCTAGAAGTTGTATGAAGATTTATGTTATTTATAATAATTTATGTTATTTATAATAAATAAATTATAAATAAGTTTATGTTATTTATAATAAATGTAATATATATTATAATAAATATATGTTATATATATTATATATTATAATAAATATATGTTAATATATGTTATAATAAATAAATTTATGTTATTTATAATAAAATATGGTTTTGTTTTAAAAAAATAAGACAAAGAGGCACTTCAGATACTCTTAGAAAAGATAAATATACTTGAAAAGTACCAGAGATAAGGTAAACTCTAAAAATCTTGGTCCCTACTGCTTTCTAAAAAACAAATAGCTTCACCGTTCGTGAGAACTTGTAATTTTCCAAATTTTCTACTATTTGCTTCTACCTTACAACAGATTTTGTTTCTCAGATAAAAATCAAATTGCATTAATATAAAGGCAAATAATCTACATTTACATAGGGATCATCCCCTTTCCCCCTTACCCACCCATCCTATCTCTCTCCTTCTCTCCCTCTCCCTTCTTCCCTTCTTTCCTGAATTAAACAAAATCTTTCTTGTAAAATGGAGATTTTTTTCAAGTAAAACTTACTACAGTGGTTTTTTTTTGTTTGTTTGTTTTTGTTTGTTTGTTTGTTTTAATTATCATCTCTTTTTTTGCCCAAGCTCTTTTTTCTAAGCAGCAAGGACAAGGTTTCAGCCCCACTCAGTTCCATGATGATCCTGGCCAGAGCAGGAAATAAACCTCAGTGGGTTCAGGCCAGATCAGCACTAATTTCAGGATCCAGTAAGACCAGGGAGAGCCATAGGCATGAAGAGTGTGTTCATCAAGCTATAGATAACCTTTCCAGAAACCTGCCATTTTGACCTAAACCACTGGTTAACTCTTCCACTGACAGTGCTCTCCCCCCAAAACTTCCCTCCAAAGTAAGCACTCAGTCATTCCTTACCCATTTTGATTTTTTTGTTTGTTCCCCTAGTTTGTCTTTTTGTACTTCTTAAAACCAGCTTTTTTGGGGCGCCTGCGTGGCTCAGTGGGTTAAAGCCTCTGCCTTCGGCTCAAGTCATGATCTCAGGGTCCTGGGATCGAGCCTCGCATCAGGCTCTCTGCTCAGCAGGGAACCTCCTTCCCCCTCTCTCTCTGCCTGCCTCTCTGCCTACTTGTGATCTTTGTCTGTCAAATAAATGAGTGAAATCTTTAAAAAACAAACAAACAAAACAGCTTTTTGAGAAACAACTGACACACAACACTGTAAAATATTGCACAACTGACAGGCATATATTTAAAAGTGTAAAATTTGAGAAGTTTTGAAACATGTATAAACCTATTAAACTATCACAACAATCAAGATCGTGAACATACCCATATCCATCTCTCCCCCCCAAAAATCACCCCAAAGTTTCCTTGTGCCCCTTTGTAATCTTGATCTCCTATCCCTCCCCATCGTCCTATCTCCAGGCAAACACTAATCTGCTTTCTAGATTAGTTACCAAGTCAGCAAAAACAAATAGGAAGGAGACTTTTGATGCCCTACATCTCATGTAGGGTCTCCTCAATTTTTGTCTCCTCAATTTTTCTTTCCCAGTTCAGTGTTTCCTATTCAGAAGATTTTAAAAAGGTTAAGAATACACACACAACATTAAATATTTAAATTAACAATCAAAATGCATGTAAAGAAGTGAGTTCTAATAATTATAGACTAAAGCAGCAGCTTGTCTACATCATAGGTACATGTTGAACGCCAACATTTCACTTTCAAAAATGCCTAAGAAATACTACCAAACTGACATACATTTTCAAGCTTATTTGTGGTTAGAAAATTAATGTTGATATTATAGAACACAAATTTAAACACTTAATGAATATTACATCTAAGGTGGGAGGCATCGTGATTTGACTGCTCAGAAATCTTGAAATTAACATTTATTATTTTTAGCTAAATAGCTCATAAGCATTACCTTTTCTGTAGGATTAATTTATATCCTTCTAGTGATGTTCCCTCAGCAGCCTTGACTCTGATTGGATGACCAATAGCTAGGCAGCCCTGCGTTATCGCCCGGCTCAGGATCATTCCAGCCTTCCAATGAATAGAGAGGGGAGAGAAAGGTCTAAATAAGTTAAAAGAACCAGAAAATTCAACAATGTGTCACAAATAGTGAGGTCATTATGCCTGGATAACCCCGGATATTAACAGTTGCTGAAAGTGAAACACTACCCACAACTTAGCAGTCAGTGAGCCCTGCTCAGAATCAGTGATCTTCTGTCCAACAAGGGTGGCATTTTACAGTTCAGTGCAAAATAAAACAGACCTTGATATCTTCATTTGTCCTTTTTTTTCTGTGCATATTTCACAGGGCAGTGATTTGGGGTCCATCATGTGTCACTTGTTATAGTTATAACCACAGAGCTTACTTGAAATATGTATGCACAGGAAAAGAAAAAAGTGCAGTGAACTGAAAAGATTGAAACAAATCCTTAACCTTCGTACCAGTTTAAAGTTTTATTCTGGGTCTAAATACCATGGGTTAAACATTTTAAGGTGGTTGTGCACTGTTTTTGTTTTAAATGTTAGGATACTCTGATAAGGAAATTGGTTTGGAATATTGTTTAAATGGCCAATTAACAATTTTCTTACTTAGGGAATCAACAACACATTTTAAATAAGTGACAACCACTGAAGAATTTATTTACACACACTGAAGATTTATGGCATGCGAAAGTGTCTATCCTAACAAGTAAAAATATTTATTTTGAAAAAAGGGAGAGAGCATTCAATCTAAAAAGAGTTTCAAAATTGTCTTCTTTTTAGCATGTAACTTTTATATCTCATGCTTTCATTGTGTGCTAAAGAAATATATGATAACTTGGGAAAAGTATTTCTTTTTAATTTTGGTTCTAATAAATACTGGATGGAATCTTCATTTGAACAAGCTTGTCTCTACAGCAAGAAAATTCCTTGGGGTGAGGATAAAAGGACATTTATTAAGCATTTTCTGTATACCAGATCCTATGCTTGAACTTCACAGTGCTTTCTTACTTGTCACCCCAGCAACTGTGCAAGGTAGGTATGACTAACTTCAGTTTATAGATGAGGAAACAGTGGTTTAGTGCAGCTAAGTAACTTTTTCAAGGTCACACAGGCATTCTAATTCCCACCCATCTAACTCCAAAAGCCCATCCTCTTTTCAGTAAGCATTTCAATTATTTCTGAGGAAATTTTAGACAAGTACAGATTTTTTGCTATCATGAAATTGTAGAAACAGATACCATAAAATTGCAGAATATGAGATCTCGAAAGGAACTCTTCATATCATATCAGCTGGTCCAACTCTTTTCAGATAAGACTAAAGCCCAGATACAGTGTGTGACTTACCCAAGGTCACGCAAATGTTCAGTGGCAATGCTAACGCTTAAGAACTTCCATCATGCTCAGACATTAGCCAAATACAGAGCAGCGTTTTACATTACAGTGAAAAGGTATAAATTTTGAAGTCAGATAGACCAAGAATCTTTCCTCTGTCACGTACTAGCCTCAGTTTTTTCAGCTGTATAATGTATAAGATTAAATGAGATAAGAAATATGTAGAAGATGCCTAACATAGAGCAGATGTTTAATAAAATTGCAAATATTGTTATTAAGTCTGAAACAAAATACAATTTAAAAAGGGTTCGTAGTTCATAGAGTCTCCAAGTTGGAAGTAGATTAAAGAAATGTCAACCTCTTTCTGCCTGAATATATGAAATGAACATTTCTTGGTGCCCTTGTACCTTAATTACTCTATACGTTTGTTTTTAGCTCTCAGAGAATCAAAAAATAACAGTTAAGGACAATCCCAAATGTCATTTGAGAAAAGAGTTGCAATCCCCTGCCCCCCAAAAAGCAGCAGCAAACCTGCCTGAGTGACTCTGCACCCAAAGAAGTGCTAAGAAGAGGCAAAAATAATCTAGATTGAAGGCAAAGTAAGACATAAGAAGGGTAGACACAAGCTGCACTATCTCTTTCCAGACATAAATATTTGGTCGCAATTACACAACATATTTCAATAGCAAGAGGGAAGGGGAGGGCAATTACATGTTTTCAATTTAAATCAGATCCACTAGTATAGTAGTAAAGTTAAAAAATTAAATAGTGTCAATACATGGGTATAAAATGTGTTAGTCATTGTTCACATTCTATACTCAAGGATTTCTCTTAAAACTATCCTTACTAGGGGCACCTGGGTGGCTCAGTCGTTGGGCGTCTGCCTTCAGTTCAGGTCATGAGCCCAGGGTTCTGGGATCGAGCTCTGAGTGGGATCCCTGCTCAGCGAGAAGCCTGCTTCTCCCTCTCCTACTCCCCTGCTTGTGTTTCCTCTCTCTCTGTGTCTCTCTCCATCAAATAATAAAATCATTAAAAACAACAATAACAACAACAAACAAAAACCGTCCTTTGGGAGACTGTACACTGTCCTTGTAGGGTGCGCCCCCACCAGGCTCCATGAAGATCAGCAATGAAGACTAAGGAGTGGAAGCAAATGACCTTCAGACAAACTTCATGAAAATGGTGAGTGTATGGACTGTTCGGAAGTTCTGTGACAAGTTTAAATATTCTCTGAGTATGAACTAATCGGCACGTGTGAAAGTGAATTGAATGCTCACATGGGGATCCACAGCAGCCCTCTGCACGAGACAAACCAGGAGCAGAGAAGTAGCATTCCTGACAATCGCTCATGCCTCCACTTGTAGGCTTGTGTGCGTGAGGACACCAGGAGCTGGAGCCGCACTGTGAGCAGCGAGCATGGGCAGTCACTCGGGGAGATCAGACACTGTTGTGTACCTTTGTGATCAGCCACACACTGGCTGCAGGCCACAGGATGGACGGCGCAGTCTCACTTCCACTACTTGCTTCCCTACTGGAGGAGCTCCGCTTTTTGATGGAAACAGAGGCATGAAGGACAATATTGGGATCCACCTATACCATGAGAAGAAGTACGTGTTTTTAAATGTATAGTCAGAAAGTCCACCCTCTTCAACACACCCAAAACAGGTTATCCTAGAACATTATATTTCTGACTGAAAAGATTTCTTTTGAAGTAGTAGTGTTCCATCCCATTTAATTTAATTCAATTAATACTTGGTGAGCATCAGCTCTGATACGCAAGGCCCTAGACTATGTGGTATGGGGTATTATAAAATATTCTTCTTGCCTGGGAACCCCTGGGTGGCTCAGTCAGTTAAGCATCGGCCTTTGGCTTGGGTCATGGTCCCAGGGTCCCGGGATTGAGTCCTGCATCAGCCTCCCCTGCCCCGTGGGGAGTCTGCTTTTCCCTCTCACTCTCCCTCTGTGCTCTTTCCTCAAATAAATAAATAAATAAATAAAATCTTAAAAACATTTTTTTCTTGCCCTAGAGAAACTTGCAGCAGAAGAGGCATTAACACACACACACACACGGACAGACAACATAGATTCTAGAACAGGGACATCAAAGGAGAACAGTTAAGAGTCCCCACAATCTTCTAAGAATAAAGGGACATGAGTTGAGAATTTAATGATAGTTGTGGGAAAGGACAGGAGGGAACTAACTGGTAAGGCACAGTATCCCTGTCTCCCATATTTGTTATCAGACTACATACATCAAAGAAATTGTATACCTTCTAGCATTTCTCACTTAGCCATGATTATAAAATAGGCATTCACATCACCTGTAGATATTCTACTTCATATTTAAAACTCTTCTGCTAACCTATATGATCACTTTTCCTGAGTAAATTTTTAAGTATCAATATTTACTTATATAGGATTATGGGAATATGTCAGTTTATACTTTAAACCCAATAAATGACATTGCTTCAATAAACATTTAAATTATTTTCTAATACTAAAAAGTGTATTCTAAATCTGCACTAACACTAGATATTTGTCAAGTACCAATTGATTCTTAAAAATTCAAAAATTAAATGATCATTTAAAAGGCAATATTTACACATGTGATCAGGTAATAACAAAAGGACATAACTAGTATATTTGGTAATTACACCACAATGGAAGATAGTTACATCTCAAGAGAAATATTTCTTTTTATTTTTTTAATTTATTTCTCTTTATTATTATTTATGTGAAAATAAAATTTTAAAAATGCAGCAACCCCACAACAGAAACGGATTTGACTTACAGCTCTTTGATTGTGTTTTCCCCAGTTAGCCAGTAGTGGCTGGATTCTGGAGGGGAATCCCCCACAGTTTCTGAACAATGATAAACTATATTCTACTAATCCACCCACCACAGGACTCAGCATTTAAAGTAACACTCTTACTCAACCTTCTAACTCCAAGTTGCCATCACACTCAAAACTCTCCTCTGCAACAGGGAAGAAGATTGTTTTGACTGGAATTAGTCAGACAGAAGAACCGTACTGCCAACTGCTTCTTTGTCCAGCACCTGCTGCCAGCGCCTAAATTCTTGTTATCTCCACAACATGGTTTAATCTTTTAACAGTTGGCTTATTGGTGAAGAGCGAAGGGGTTCTTTGTGTCTGTCTTGGGTTGGCACCCAGTATTAACACCATGCTGTTTTTCGAGAGATATTTTGCTGGACAGTTCCCAAGTGATTCTACATAGACCAGACTCAGCCAGGCCCACTAACTCAGCTTCATTGCCTGTTATTAAAAGAAAAAATCTTGCCAAGTCTGGGGTTTTGATACATTTAAAATTGACAGTGGCTATTAAATTTCAATTCATGATCTCATCTTTTCTTCCATTTTTAGTTTAATTGGATAGTTTAGCTTTAGACCAAACACTTATTAAGGTGGGAAAGATAAAAATGGTGAAAATTACAATTCATAAAAGAAAAGTGCTTTGACAACCTGCAACATGGTCTACCATGCATGCGTGCGTGCACACACAGGTATGTGATAGCATTGAGGCTGAGCTATTCTCTAAATACATATTATCATGTGTGTCATTAGGTCATTAGGAAACTTCTTTTATTCTTTGGAATACCTATATATATATAGGAGATAGATGATAGATAATAGAAAGATGGACAGATAGATAGATAATGTATCTCTTTAAATGACTGTTATGATTTTAGTTGTCTGAATAAATTATATTAATACAAAAGCTGCCAGTGATTAAAAAAAAAAAGGTGCATGCATACTCTGGGCCTCTTAAAACTTGTTTAATTTTCTTTTTCCAAATCACTAATGAAAGCTGTTGATATTCCTGTGCAAATTCATAAGAGAAACACTTATGGTGTTTATTTACAGATCTGAGGAATGAAACACAAGACAGTGAATTTTCTTGAAAGCAGGAGCTCACTGATCACCCCCTTTATTCAAAAACAAATCATTTGCTACATAGAAATTTTATAAGATTTTTCACTTCTGATCATGAATTTAGGGCCAAGTTAAAAAATGTGATACACAAATTTAAATCACAACTATAAGGAGAGCCTGGGTGGCTCAGATAGTTAAGCATCTGCCTTCAGCTCAGGTCGTGATCTCCAGGTCCTGGGGTTGAACCCCATGTCGGGCTCCCAGCTCAGCAGGGAGTTTGCTTCTCCCTCTGCCACTCTCCCCTGCTTGTTTTCTCTCTCTCTCTCTCTCTTAAATGCATAAATAAAATATTTTTAAAAAATAAAATCACAACAATAATAAATGTTATAAAATCTCTTTCCTCGTGTCCCTACTGTTCATTCTTAGTCTTTTTATTCCCTAAATCTATAGCTGATTAATACACCCACCTCAAAGACCAAGAACTGGAAAAGTCTAAAGGCAGAAAGCACCAGTGAGTACATAATTATGCAATCAAACAAGGCAAAATATCTAAGATGTAAATATGCAGTCCTCAAATATCTTCCACCTATTGGTTTAAAAATAAGGAAGGAATAAATAAAAAGTTATTTTAAAAAAATAAGGAAGGGACTCGGGAATTTATTTAAAGTTTTGTGTCCTATTCTAATGGCAATTGGTTCAAAATTAAAATTAAAATTTTGTATTTTTCCCAGTATAAATTGTTTGTAGAAAACATTATTTTTCAATGACTTGCCTTCCAAAGAAATAGAACAATAAAAAAAAAAAGTGTTCATTTTTGGTTAGTCTCCTTTGTGATATATAAAATAATTCATTCTGCTAGTATCCATGACTGCTGAATTTACAAGTTGTAAGTTTATAACTCTTAACAAGAATGTTACAATTGTAAAATCATCATTTGGTATTGTTCTTGCCGTTTCCATACCAAAAGTTGTCACTAATGTCGTGCTAAAGTCTGATTATACCAAAAGGCTAGGATCAAAATATGTTTCCTTTCCATTTTGGCAGAATGTATTACCTGCTAAACACTGAAGTCCATTTTTCTGCTATTTTTTCCCATAGCTAGGCATTACTCAAACTAATGTTTTTTCTTTTATATTAACTACTATGAAGTTTAAATCTCATCCAATGCATGGAAATATTTAATTTTATTGCCCTTAAGCTGAAGCAATCTAAAAATGTTATCAATTTAAGTAGCAAGAGAGAACTATTGAAAGATGTATTTGCCAAAGTGTCATTTTGTAGTAGATTCCAAATCTTTTTTTGAAATGGATAAAAGAGCAACAGGTTGTAATTGTCAGGGTTATATCTATCTCCTACATTACTAATAGGGATTATATGTTCCAAATTTTTCTCTGTAGGAAAGGTTTTACTTGTCAATAAGAGTTTTAAAAGAACAGTCAGGGGTTGGGCACTGATAAGTCTATCTCAAGCCAATTTTAAAAAGTATGCATCAAGAATATCGGCTTTTGCCTCCCTCTCTCTACCCCTGTTGTAATCCTCTTAGTGTCTTCTTTACCACAATGAGCATCAAGATTCTACAATAAAAGGCCTATAGATATCTATCACCTCTGCTAGAATCTTTCTTGAAAAGTGCTCCGTTTCAGGTTATTAAATTACTATTTCCAATGCACTGATCACCTCTCTGTATATAATTGTAGGTGCTTTTCTGAAAGGATTGTAAAGGTTTTTTAAAAAGCTAAGGGAGGGCCATTTTTCTTTGAAAGCTTCCTTTTACTAGCCAGCTTATCAAATTGTTGCTTTCTTATACTACTATTTTTGTTGGACTGAAATTTTATTCAAAACCAAATTCTTCTTCTAAAATTATAATAGTGTACAAACTTTCAGTTGAGAGTTTTCTCATTTTTGCTAAATCATTAAAACCAGTTAGGAATGGTGAAATAATTGGATGTTATTCTCTCATTTTTCAACATGAGAAAATATAGTTATCTTTTAAAGTCCTACATTGCATAAAATCAAAAAAGAAGCTTCCTCTGAGTTCTTTTTCTCTGATAACTCTTTGATATCCTTTTTCCCCCCCCCAGGTTTGAGCTGTTTTCTGTTGAATGAGTTAATTAACTAGTGAATTCAATTCCATCTAGCTAACTCTGAACGTGTAGATATTGCAATAATGACAAGGATGATCAGGATGCCCTCTGTCCCTGAGCAATGGCTAATCCAGCAGGGAGGATAAACAAAGGACTCCTGAGTTATCTTCCTAACACAAACATCAAGTCAGATCCTGCTTCTGCTTTGATATCTCCAATGGCTCCTTGTTTTCTACAGAACAACATCCAGAACCCCTAACACTGAATTAATACCCTTTATGACCTGATCCCAATATTCTCAGTGGAATCTACCATTCTCCCTTTTCTTCTCCAATGTGACCTGAAATGTGTTCATTTGGAGCACTGGTTGACTTTGAATCGTGCAAAAAATGTTTAAGAGAAACATCAAGTTCAATGTCATAAGGATCACAGAATGAATGCAATGAAGATCTATGTCCAGAAACATCATATCCAGTTTGGGGATGAAGGTTGGTAAAGAAAGCTTTCATGAAGCAGGCACAAATCAGATAAGGTTAGAATGATGGGCAGAATTTCAGCGAGCATTTAATGAATGCCAGCTGTACACCAGACAGTGTTAGAATATGGCATAAAAGTGACAAAGAAGGCTGGTGGGTGGTAACAAAGAAAAAGGGGTTGAATTCTAGGCAAAGTGATCCACATGACCATAACAACAGAAATCATGAAGTACTTTCAGAAAACAACAAATGAACAATCAGGCTTGGCTAACACATGAAGAACATATTAGAGAATATTGAGCCTTAAAAGAAAGGTTGTACCTAGGTTTTTAAAAATTATTCATCAAAAATGAATTGTGCATCTGCCCTGTGTGAGCAGCTGCCATACAACAGATCTGTGCTAGAATTCAAAAATACAAAGATGAGTAAGACATAATGTCTGTTTCCAAAGAATTCTCAATTTAATGGAAGAGAAAGACACAAAAACAAATGACTATACCAAAACACAAACTTTAGGAACATTTTCAAAGGATGAAAAGAAGTTTCAATAATATGAAGTTCATTCTTTCTGGAGGATCTGAGATGGCTCCATGGAAGAAGAAGAGTTGAATAAAGCCTTAAAAGGCAAGGAATGGGAATGGTGGGGGGTATATATATCCTAGGCCAAGAACAACACATACCATGGCACAAGTGGACATGAAGAACATGTTACAGGGCACAATTTACTAGCTCTAACTGTAGTGTAGTGTACAAAGATCAAGAAGAGAAGATTGGAATGGCAAGTCAAGATTAGGGGCAGATTAGAGAACCATGGAGATCAATGAAGGTCTGACGAGGATTTGGAATTTCAGTGGGTAACAGGCAGGGTTACAAGTTTTTTTGAACAGGAAACAATGTCACATCAAAACCTAAAAAGGAATGCCAACAGGATCAGAATTATGGTAAATAAATCTTAATGAGAGATGAATATAAAATATAAATGTAGACATTAATTCTTTGTGTATTTCTCAACTTGAATTTATTTTCTAAATTTGCTCAAAATCTGACAGGGTTAGAAATACAACTAACCCTGGAATAACACAGGTTTGAACTAAATGGGTCCCCTTAGATGTGGATTTTCTTTGATACAGTACAATGATATAAATGCATTTCTTCTTCTTCATGATTTTCCTAATAACATTTTCTTTTCTCTAGCTTATTTTTTTGCAATAACACAGTACATAATGCATACAATATGTAAAATACCTGTTAACCGACTGTTTCTGTGAGGTTTCTGGTTAACGGTAGGTTATTAGCAGTTAAATTTGGGGGCAGTGAAAAGTTCTACATGGAAAAAAAATTATATGTGTATTTCCAACTGTGAGATATCAGTACCCCTAACTCCATTGTCCAGGGGTCAACTATAATTATTTATTTTATTCTATTTTTATAATTGTATTATTTAGATTCACAGGTGTTTTAAAACAACTAATATTTTCAGTATACATTTTGACATAATAAACTGACAGTCATACAGAAATTAGAAAAGAGCAGGTTGGGACAATGGATCTTTGCATTGTCTTTTAGAAATAAAGGGCCCAGACCATTTAACAGGAAGTCCTACTTTGAGCATCTTTATCACTGTGGGTACCTTTTGGTTTTGATTTCATGAGTTCAAAAACTAAAGCTTATGCTGCTGAAATGGACAACAACCCTGCCACTCAGGAAAAAAACAAAGTTATGATTCTTTCTTTGGAGACATGTTTCAAATACGTCCCTACTCATAGCTCAGTTGAAGAAGAAAATTCTTTACTGGCATTTCTAAGTATAAATTAATAAACAAACCTTCTGAATTGGGTTGTAATGAGTTGGGTTTTCTAAAGAACTCCTATTCCTTAAATACATTGACCCACAGAGCAAAGAGATCAAATGCTTGTTTAACAACCATGTTAAAGACTTTTTAAAACAACTCCAACTTATTAATACAGTAGATATAAAGAAAATATACTAAGCAATAGCACTTAAATGACAACTCAGGTAAAAATTTTTCTAGTGGGAATACTATATATTGGTTCAGTTTTAAAGTGCTGAATTAACAGGAAGTAAAGAATAATACCTGCCCCAACATTTGTAAAATAATCTGTACTTTTCAAAAAACCTTCAAAAAATCCACTCAGTCACCATACAGTGAATGACTGTCCAACACATAAAATACGTTTATTAAGTACAAGAAAAAATTCTGACCTTGGGGGTGCCTGGGTGGCTCAGTGGGTTAAAGCCTCCTCCTTCGGCTCAGGTCATGACCCCAGGGTTCTAGGATCGAGCCTGCATGGGACTCTCCGCTCAGCGGGGAGCCTGCTTCCCTTCCCCTCTCTCTGCCTGCTTCTCTGCCTACTTGTGATCTTTGTCTGTCAAATAATTAAATAAAATATTAAAAAAAAAGAGAAGGAAAGAATTCTGACCTTGTTCTGTAGGAAATGGTTCTCCAAGTCCACCTTTTCAAATTGATCAGGTATCTCTTGACTGGTACTGTTCAAATTAATTGGAAATCTCTCACAAACTTCCCAACTAAGAAAAGTAAAATATTTAACTATTATTGTTAAAATAAAATGCACTTAATTATAACTTTCTTTATTCTACTGGTATAATAATTTACATATCTTATACTCTACTAGGGAGAGAAAAACAAATGTATAGTTCACAATCTTTTTAAACAGAAATTTGTAAAGTGTTTTGTTATCTATAATTGGGAAACGAAGACTTCAAATTTGTATCTTGCAACTATTTATTATACTGGAGGATTCCATGACTGATTAATTATAAAAAGAACAGAGAAACAAACAAACAAAAAAATGACTCAGTCTTACAGAATCACTCATAGTGGACACCATCTTCACTGTTAACTTTTACTCTAAATACCATGGGCTATAAATAATACAAGATAGTTTTATACTTAAAATGGTTATGTTAGGCACATTGTTTTGGCACTTTTTAGACAGTCTTACAAAGGAGCACATTCTAGGGGGCACACAAACTACAAATGGGGAGTGGGAGGTTCAGCCAAATTAGTTCAGCCAAATCACTTATTTTTTAAGACTTTATTTTTCTGAGACAGAGAGAGAGCACGAGTTGGGGGTGGAGGGGCAAAGGGAAAGGAGGAAGCAGACTCCCTACTGAGCAGGAAGCCAGATACTGGGACCATGACCTGAGCGGAAGGGAGACACTTAACTGACTGAGCCACCCAGATGCCCCCAAATAACTTATTTTAAAAGTGCACTAATCATTACTCTAAAGAAAATTATCTGGCTAGCACTTATATGTTAAGACATATCATATGGCATGTTATTCAACAAAAACCAGTTCTGAGACAGGTAATAGTATTTTTTGCAATACCCCGAGAGATATGAGTTAAAGTATGATTATTAAGATTTCAAATAATGCATGTTAGAGTATAGAAAGATTTTCAAAGGGGATCTATAAATTATGTAAGTTATCTTCCAATAAGTTTGTTTTCAATAAGGGTAGTTTCATATTGTTATGCTTAGTGACCTAGATCTAACTTAAAACCACTCAAAAAAACAGTCTTTAACGCACCCAGGAAAGGGAAATTAGGAAGGAATACATGAATTAAAAATTAAACTCCTAGCTAACACTTGAAGGGGAAAGGGTCTGGGCAAATTTAGCAGTTTGGGGAAAGATTGTGGCACATGAAGTGAATCTTCTTATAAATGGAAATGCCTGCAAAAAAAAGTACTGGGGTGTCTCCTGAATGGTGCAGCCAGTTAAACATTTGCCATTAGGGTGGTCATGATCTCAGGGTCCTGGGATCAAGCCCGGTGCTGGACTCCTTGCACAGTGGGGTGTCTGCTTCTTCCTCTCCCTTTGCCTTTCTCCTCCCCATTCATGTGCGCATGCTCTCAAAGAAATAAAATATTTATTAGAAAAAGAAAAGGAAAGTATGCTAAGCTATTTTCTATCTATAAAGGAAAAGAACAAGACAAAACATTCCAGTCTTCCCTGGATAGTGCAGGCAGTCATTGGAGGATAGAACTGTTTAAACAACCAAGGAAGACCAAAGAATTCATCTTTGTAGACATGTTTAGCAATGTCTAGCTATATTGAGTGACCTCATCAGACAGACCACTTCTGGTTCTCTGGATTTTCCCTCTACATCCAGCCTTTTCACCTGTATATTAAGGAAAGCTATAAATTGTTAAACTACAAAGTATTAAAGATAGATGGGATCTTATAGATAGATCACCTAATCCAACATACTATCAGAATCATGCTGACTGCCCAATATGATAGCCATTAGCCACATATACCTATTTAAATTTAACTTAATATAACTTAAAATTAAAAATGTAGTTCCTCAGTCACATTAGTCATATTTTAAGTTCTCAGTAGTCAAAACATATGCTTCCATCATCACAGAAAGTTCTAGTAGAGAGTGCTAGGTAGTTGTTAAGCCCTCAGTTCTTAAGAAAGACACTCTGGTTTAGAACCCTGGCTCTATCATGTACTAGTTCTATGAATGGACAAATTACTCTGCCCTTCTGTGCCTCAGTTCAAGCTCTATAAAATGGAGTAATAATAAGATAATGTAATGATGGGATTAAGATCATTGTTTTGAGGATTAAACAAATCCTTACCCAATTCATTTAGAACTGTGTTCAACACTTAGCAAATACTGGGTTTTATTATTTACAGATAAGAAACTGACACCCACGGAGCGCCTGGTGGCTCAGTGGGTTAAGCCTCTGCCTTCGGCTCAGTTTCGTGATCTCAGGGTCCTAGGATGAAGTCCCGCATTGGGCTCTCCGCTCAGTGGGGAGCCTTCTTCCTCCCGTCTCTCTCTGCCTGCCTCTCTGCCTGCTTGTGATCTCTCTCTGTCAAATAAATAAATAAATAAATAAATAAATTCTAAAATAAAAAGAAAGAAAGAAAGAAGACGCTGACACCCACCAGCTCATGGAAAATCATGAGCAGCAGAGATGGGGTTAATTCTCAAATCTTCCAACTCCTATTCTTCCCACCACTCCATCAATTCTTTAGCATATTGCTTTTGTTTTCAATTTATCATCATCAAAGGAGACGTTTAAATATGAACATTCGTACAAGAAAACGTTATTTAATATTTTAATGATACCACTCAAAACTCTTAATTTAGAAACATCCACTAAACATTTTTTACATTTTAAATAAAACTGTTACATCTGCAAAGCAGAAACTTGAGTCTGCTCATTGCCTCACAGGTTTTGTTGTTTTTTTTGTTTAACTCGAGAGAAGTTACTGAAAAACTTTTTAGACACTAGCTCATTATACCATGAAATAAGCCAATAAAATAAGTTAATTGCTTATTAAAACAGTACAAAGAACATCTTTTAGTGTTGCAATCTGAGTTAGGTATTTCAAATTATTTTAACTGAGCACATGTTAATTTACCTGTCACATCCAGGTAGCAGAACAGCATTAGGATCCAAGAAGGTTTTATATGCTACTGTAATGCCATCTCTGTCAAATGCAGTCACCTGGTCAAAGGTGAGACTCAAAACAGGTGTAAGTGGAGATCTGAAAAATGGATAAAACATCAAAGCTATATGCAAAATCATACAAATATTGAAATTTGAGCACAAATAAATAATAAAACCTATAATATCAGTGAGTAACAAAGTCCAGAAATAAGTGAATTTCTTATTATATGGCACTATTGTTGATACCTTATACTGACACCTGAAATGCACATTTTAGTTTATTTGGCTGATTTATATGTCAAGGATAGTTGTAAAACATGTAATTCTTAAAAATAATTTCAATAATAAAAGCAAAGTATTTAGTTGAGAAAAACAACCAATTGTCATTCATGCAATTTTTACTTTTTAACATTTAACTACAATGCAATACACCATTAACAGTCTCTGGAGCTGACAATTAAGTGAATTCTTAATATTTGGCTATAAATTACTATTTTTGTGAGCTCATTAAATGTTATGCTGATTTGATTTTTCATATTACATACTGTTAGGTACTTTCTTTTCTATTTAATTATTTGAGAATTAAAATCAAATAGGAAACAGACCTTAAATAAAAACAATGGCAACTGGCATTATGTCAACTATGAGCCTTTTCTTTTTTTCTAAATTGGTGACAAAGTCACCAACAAACATCATTAAAAATATCAAATTAGTCATTGCTTTCACTTTAATGATGATATTTAAGAAGATATTATTAGACACACATTTTATTAAAGCCTTTACTTGTAATTGGAAGAGCTTGCTAAATTATTCAAGAATTCTCGCCACTGTAAAATTCATCACTGTTCTACCATTACAAAAACAATTCTCACAATGTAACTGAATTATATCTTGAAATCTGTCTATGGAAGAAAACATCATTCCTTACATATATTTTTAATTCTATAAATTACACAGCATAAGAAATTATTAAACATTTTAATTTCCCTCTCCTGGGAGAGAAGAAATCAAATTTTATAATATACTATCTACAACTAGTCCCACCAACTTCTTCCAAAACCTTCCTGAATTTGTGAGCAGATTTATTTCAGTATTTGAAATCTTGACTCTTAGAAGATATAGCAAATCCAATCAGTTCCTAGTCCATCAATGCTATTTTCATTATAATTAATATACGATCAATTACACTCAATAAGTGAAGTTATTTTCCCCTACTTTCCCTATTCAGATAAATAGAGGCTTAAAAAATTTTTAAGTCGGCAGAAAAGTGTGTTTAAGTTTCCTGACAAGCAGTTTCCGAGTTCATCTGGATGTGTCCTGTCAAAATATGCATACATTTCTAAGATATTCCACACAACAGCCCAGTTCATCAGTGCCTGCAGACTGCAGCCTTTCTGTTTTCCCAGAAACACAAAAAATTTTTCGCAGGAATTTACCAATCTACAAAAATTTACACAATGCTCAACAATAACTAGTAATTATTGTGGGATAATGTAAGGCGCTTTTGAGGAATATAACTTAGATAGGATAGGGCTTACAAGCTTTACCAATTTATCTTTAGCTGTCCTGTCATTGGTGCTTAAAAGGTTAAGACTTTATTTGTGAAAACATAGAGAGGTAGTGGGGAATCATGTTGTCTACAGCTTCATAAATCTTGCTTAAGATCCTTTTCAATTACCATCCATTTCTCCTTTAAAAAGGGACAAAAAATAGAGGAGTGGAAGCAGGTCAGGGCAGTGTGCGACAATGACAGTGTGATGGGCTTGGGCCCCCCGTGGCGTTTCCATCTGCTATCATTAAGGTGACTACTCAGACATGAACAAATCCCACTTGCTGTGCTGACAGGCAGACTTCAAGAACTATGACAAGGCATTAAGACAGAAAGTCAGAGAGAGAGAGAAAGAGAGAGAGGAATGTCATATCTCACAAACAATACTGCCTCACAAAAAAAACGCCCCTGAAATTTTATTGGAATTCAAGATTTTTAAAAAAATTCATAAAGGGTGCTACTTGGCTTCTCAACTTTCCTTTTAAATTAGCTTGCCCCTGGAAAGGTTGAGGATAGACAGAATAAACACCTTGCTCCTACCTGTATGCTTTACCATAAGAGACCCAAATTTTCTGCTCATTCTTCAGCAAAAGTGGATTCTTAATTTCTTGACCATGTTCATCAAAAAGCCGGATTGAAGAAAAATTTAGACCTGATGGGTTGATGGGTGATCCTCGAAGCCTTTGATGAATCTTGAGAAGTAACTGGTATTGGGGGAAAATAATGAAGAAGTAATGTAAAATGTGAACATCTATAACAAACTGTCTCTACTCTGTAACAAATGAATCCAAACAAATGATAATTAAATTCATATGGAATGTTAAAAGAAGTGTGAAATGATGGCAATGTTTAGCTCAGTGTAAAGTAACAAAATGAGCATGGGCTTTTAACCAGCAGGGGGTGCCACAGGCTTGTGATTGAGCTCTGACCCTTTGGCACGGGGACTGAAAGCAGATGTGACAGCCTTAGAGAAAGAGCATTTAGCTTCCCCCACACGGTAACAGTCCTCTTTGATAAGGGTTATGCTTTTCTTGTCCGAGCCACACATTTTGTTCGGATCCTTCCAGAGCATGTTCAGATTTTGGAATCAGCAACCTCCCCATCCCCCAGATAAACTGCAGATAACAATGGTAGAACAACTCACCACTTTCAGGACTGCAAAAATAAACAGGATTTTCAGCCAATGTCTGTTTACCTACAAGAACTCCTTTGAATGTAGTTCAATTAAGAACCTTGCAAAAGCTTGTGAGCTGCTTCAGTAACGAATGTTTTCAAGTTATGAGTAAGCCATAATTGGAATATGAAGTATGAAAGGCTCTCATTTGATATTTTAAATGATAGCATTGCCAGTGTTTGCTTCTCTCTTACATTCAGGTTACAGCAAGATCTTCCTAATTTCAGGCACATTTTAGTGAAAGTAAATCCCACTAAACTGTGTTGCATATGGAATTTTAGAGGACATTTTTCTTTATCCATCAACTTTGTTTGAATGTTTAGGCCTCTGCTCCATCCCACTCTGCACCCCACACTATCCATCACTGTTCTCCCCTGAGCCTTCTGTCTTCTCTCCCTTGTCAGTTCTTGTGTCTCTCAATTTCTCATTACTCTGTAATCTCCGCAGGGATGCGGATACATTTGTGGCCTTTTCTTGCCTCGCTGCTATATGGGATGCTTTTTTTGCTCCTTCTATTAATTCCCATTGAAGGTACCTTGAGAAGCTAAATGCCAAAACTCAGAGGAAAGGAGATAAGTTACAGTCTTGCCATATATCTCAGTTTCCTCACTTATTGGCTATAAACTGTTGTCCAGGTAAAAGGTTTTCTTTGACCAGCAACTATATTTACAGAATACCTAAGATTTAGGCTTTGTTGTAATTGGAGATGAACACCCATGTCTCTGACTTCATTAGCTCTGCATTGTTTTCCTCACCTCTGTGTTGACTAGATTTTTACCCTGGAGCATCAGAAAGGCTGAAAATAATGACACATTTTTCATTTCATTAAAGTTAGTATTTCTCATCCTGCCTAACTAAGTCCTCTGAATTAAAAATAATGATTCCTGTTCTCCTTGGGAGTATAGTAGACAAAGTACAAGAGCAGTAAAAATCTGCATAGTTCTCGGTTTTGTTCATTGGAACCACAAACATAGTTTGAATTCTATAAACTGTTTTTACAAAGGCCGACATTTATTTCCGCACGATCTCAGCCCTTGAGCTTATTTTTTGTCGCTCTGCTATTATTTCAGAAAACTTGTAATGCTGATCATCTTTGGAATCACAGTGATTTTGTTTTACAGGCATCACCTTTTTTTTTTTTTTTTTTTTTTTTTTTGTAAAGGGGAAAGATCTAAATGATTTAAGGCCTGATGCAAGAAAGAAATGTTCACACAAGAAACAGGAGTATGCGGCAGAAGGATATGAACACCTGACCACTTAACCAAATTCATTTTCACAGGAGTAGCATTGCAATCTCTGTTTTTTTTCAACTTGATGACAGACTGCATTTTAGGTGTTCAAAGAAGAGCATTCAACAGCCTACAGGGGGTAAGGGCCTTGGTATCTTTCATCTCTAGGTCATTGGTTAGGGCCAGGCTATGGCAACCAAAAGTTGTGATAATCTTCACCCATTTATATCTAAACCTATCATCACCAGGCCTTTATAGGATAAGAATTTGTTCAGGGACCTGAGAAGAGTGTGAAAAAATCTTGGGCTAATGATTGAAACAAGTGTGCACCAAAGGAACAGTCATCCTTGGGTATCACAAGGGAATCTCACTAACAGAGAGTTTTATTGTGCCCTAATTCAAGTTTTCCCTCAGATTTACTTGCATATAAAAGCAAAGCATAGATGAATTTCAGCATGCTTTCACTCAACACAAGAACTTTCTACAAAATAATATCTTCTTATATAAGATAAAATAAATGCTGTCTTTAATTTTTATATAAACCAAAATATATATATATATTCGAATATATATATATATATTTGAATATATATATATATATATATCTCCTTCTCTCTCTAATCAATCAAGGGTAACATTTCCCATCTCTCCTGGGCCCAGCCAATGATCAGATCAGATGAAAATCTCCTAATTCTAAACAACTCTTGTTTAGAGTTGTTTGCATACTCTCCTAGCTCTATACTAAATTACAAAGGCCAGGTAATGGATACCGCCAGGAAGAAGCAAGTTTGAGGGTGCCAAACTGAAAGGGGGGGCGGGAGCAAGTCTCTAAACAAAGGCCAAGGAACAGAGCCCAAAACACTCGTGTGTGCTCGGATGCATAACCCCAATTTGTAAACAACAGGGCATTCATTGTCCTTTTATGCAAGACAAAGACCCAAAATAAAGACCCTGAACATGTTGGTTCTGCCTGAGAAACGTCCCAATTGTCTGGAAAATAAGCAAAGATAAGAGTGCCTAACATAAACCATCTGCATATGCTTGCAATAAGCACTGAAGACTAAGGCTGTATGCTAGTTGCTCAGGGTCTAGGGCTTAGCAATACCCCCAACCCAGCACATACCCTCCCACTGAATATCATGTCACTTCTTTTCGAAATGTAAACTAGAGGGCAATCCCAGAGTCCAATGTAGACAGATTTCCAAATACAGGCATAATGAAGGTTAAGACATTGTTAAGTATGGGACCAAGAGTTAATACTCTTCCAAAGCTGAGAGCCTAAGAATTTCAAAAGTCAAGTTTGAGACTATCAATCTTCACAGAGCAACAAATGATTAATATTCTCAAAACAACTTTAAAGATACAATTGTCTAAACTAACTACAAGTAACCTGAGAGACATTTATAGCCGTAAGCAAAGAGAAAACTCACTTTTTCCATCATATCATCAGTTTGAGTTGGACTATTAGACTCCAGGTCTTTTTTGCTGATGCAAACAGAGATCTCGCCAGTGTCTTTACCATTTTCAAATATCTGAAAAATAAACACATTCAAAATTAAAAATTAATACATGCACCTACACATTTGTACATATGTTCATACATACATATATAAAGGGAAGCAGTCCTGGCTTTGCACAGTATGGTGTCAACTGAAAGTCATGCATGTGGAAAACTGCAAAGCAAGGCCTGCCTCTATGAACAAGTGCAAGTAATTGGCAATGAAAATCAACGGGACTAGTGTAAGAAAGTCTCCTATTTCTCCTTACAGTTTCAGTGTCTTTAACCTGACTGGCATTCCCTACATTTTAAAATAGAAGGAAAGGTGGTCGTTAAAGGAAAAATCACTGCATTGGAGGCTTAAATGGAAAAAGCACTAAAGTAAGGTCAGTTAGCGACCAATTGGCTGGTTAATTTCATCCTTCTTGAAAACATAAAGCCACATAAAAATACATTATATGTTTATTAAAAAAAAAAAAATAAAGCCACGAATTACATGAGGAATCTTTGACTTATATGTAAAATATATCAGCACTCATGGGCTGACTCAGTCAGCAGAGCATGCAACTCAGGATATCAGGGTTGTGAGTTCAAGCCCTATGTTGGGTATAGAGATGACTTAAAAATAAAGTCTTTTAAAAATAGAAATAAAATATATCCAAGTTGTCTTTCCGTCTCCGGCTGCGCTAGCGAGAGGAGCCGCCGCCGCCATGTCGGCCCACCTGCAGTGGATGGTCGTGCGGAACTGCTCCAGCTTCCTGATCAAGAGGAACAAGCAGACCTACAGCACTGAGCCCAACAACCTGAAAGCCCGCAACTCGTTCCGCTACAACGGGCTGATTCACCGCAAGACCGTGGGCGTGGAGCCGGTGGCCGACGGCAAGGGCGTGGTGGTGGTCCTGAAGCGCAGAGCCGGCCAGCGGAAACCTGCCACTTCCTACGTGCGGACCACCATCAACAAGAACGCCAGGGCCACCCTCAGCAGTGTCCGGCACATGATCCGAAAGAACAAGTACCGCCCAGATCTGCGCATGGCGGCCATTCGCAGAGCCAGTGCCATCCTGCGTAGCCAGAAGCCTGTGATGGTGAAGAGGAAGCGGGCCCGTCCCACCAAGAGCTCCTGAGCCCCTGCCCCACCTCCAGAGCAATAAAGCAGTTGGCCTCCTCAAAAAAAAAAAAAAAAAAAAAAAATATATATATATATATATCCAAGTTCACCTCATCTTCGAACTCACTAAATGAAATTCAACCTGACAGATTTATTTCATAACAGTACAATGAAGTCACCCATTTTAAGTGCACATATGCAACCAGTTGTTAGTAATAGAGACAAAATTCTTAAAATTGCATCATGCAACACTTGCTGAGAAAAATGCTAGCAAGAGTTCTGGTCTAAAATATCCGAACAAACCAATTCAGAAGGAGGGATCCAGTAGAGTGAACATCATCTCCTAACCACAGTGCAGACCCACATGGGGTATGCCATTCCATTCACAAAGCTCTTAAGACTAGAAGCAGGCCAAGAGAGGCCTAATGACTAAGTTAAATCCTTGCTTATTTTGTTTTTTCTCAAAAGTTCTTTTCTTCCCTTTCTGATACACCTATCACATCAGAGCAGTCATTGTATTTAACTCTAGTGCTATTTCCAGAGAAGATAATCTAGAAAAATATCTTATTTAAAAAGGAAGAAAACCATCTTCTGCTTTTGAGACAGTTTTGAGTTATTTAATTAGTCCTAACCTAATTTGGGAAATAATGTGCTTTCATAACACTTCTTTGGGCTTCAGAAATGAAAGAAAAAAGCAAGAAAGAAAGGGAAGGAGGAAGGAAGGAAGGAAAGAAAGAGAAAGATAGATTTAAAAAAAAAAAGTAATACTGTTTAAGAATTGTAGGTATTTCTCTACTTAGTGCTTTTTATCATGCTAATAGTCCCTGGAGATAATACAGCTATCAGCCTTGGTACTTTGATATACTTTACCCGGTAGCATCTTTTGTTAATCAAGATTTTTTTAAAACTTCTTTTCTGAGTACATACACAATTCTGGGCAAGAAATCTCTCTACTTTTGCAAGGAATTTTGTAAATCCAACCTAGGGTTGCCTGCAAACCCACGGGAAATAATTTGGGTGGAAAATCTTATTCTCCCAACAATCTCTTCAGAGCCCTCACCTGGAATAGAGCTCTTAAACAACTGTGACATTTGGCAGGGATGGTCACAACTCTGGACGTCGCACATTCTGCAAAGTTAGCATTGACAAAAGCACAGTTTGGAACTTACTAATATTCCTTTGTCAAAACTTGCTAGATGTGGATTGACAGTGCAGAAAATTATGTTCTAGAAAAGAGCAGTGTGAGTGCTACTGCCAAAATGAGAAAGCAAAAAGAAGTTGGCCAATCCCTAAGACCTTCATTAGCTCTCTGCTTCCTTCACTACCAGTAAGAAGTCTGTCTGCACTTCTATATCCAGAAGTGTTCTCAAAAACAAACAAACAAATAAACAAGGCTGGCTCTGGTCTCCAGAATCCCTATAAAGGCATTTAAATACATGTATATATGTTTTAGAGTTTAAGTAAAAGCACAGGTGTTTAAGTGAAAGAAGGCTGCCGTCCATCAGTCATTTATATAATGTATTGTTTTCTGTATTTTTACAAAAATAAAAATTCCCCAAACTGAAATCCTATGAGATTCTGCTTTTCTTAAGGCTCACCTCTCATTTTTAGGGTCTTCATTACTATGTTCATTTTTCTAAAATCCAAGTATTATATTTATTTTTTTCTTCCTTTGCATGAGAAGTATTTTTACTTCTACCGTCCAATGTCTAAACAAAGAGCACTCTCTAAACAGAGTTTCTGTGATTGACTAAATATAGAAAAATTAAAAAATAGTCTTTTATTTTCCTGCTTCCTGATTCTTGGCTTAAGAAAAACTGACTGCAGTATTGGCTTCCCAGTGGCTCTCTGCATGGCCTCACCTCCCTACAGCTCTAAAATTAAATTCTAATCCTTGGAGTGGAATGATGGAAAAAGCTAACTGAGGCTAGTCTTGGGTCCCAAGGAGTAAGATAATAGAACCTTTAAAAATAGTCATCCAGATTCTCTTGAAAACATGGTAGCTAATGACTAGTAAAAAAAAAAATACCTATGAATAAGAATTTACTTCTATGATTAGTTATAACAAGTAAAAAGTTTTAAGGAATGTTTTCCATGAACTACAGTCTTTTTATTTTCCTTCATGTCAATATTGACTTTTTTAAAGCAGAATTAAATTAGATTAACACCAATGTTTTATTGTAATGTTGTTGATTGATTCATTCATTCAACAAATATTTACTGAGTGCCTACCATGCCAAGCACTGCTCAGGTAAGAAACACCAGTGAGCTAAGATTCCTGCTTTTGGGGAACAAGTAAGTAAATCATATAGTATAGTCAGGGTACATCCAGGTCTTCTAAATGCTAATTGTTCATTCTTTTTGTTACAGAAGGACCACAAAGGGGCGCCTGGGTGGCTCAGTGGGTTAAGCCTCTGCCTTCAGCTCAGGTCATGGTCTCAGGGTCCTGGGATCGAGCCCCACATCTGGCTCTCTGCTCAGCAGGGAACCTGCTTCCTCCTCTCTCTCTGTCTGCCTCTCTGCCTACTTGTGATCTCTGTCTGTCAAATAAATAAACAAAATAAAGCTCAATTTAAAAAAAAAAAAAAAGAAGGACCACCAAATTATATAAACTTGGTAGACCCTCAATAGAATTTGGTGGGCCTTCTTTAATAAAAGGAATGCAAAATTACAAATGTAAAACTAGATACAAAATATTCATTTAAAATGAGAAAAGAAATCACAATTTACACACATTAAAAAGCTCACACATAGTAAAAATATTACAAAATATTTCCATTAATTACCTATCCAACACATGTTTTCTCTGAATTGTCTTTGATCATCTTTTCATGTGGTAATTTGGTAACATTTTCTATAAAGAGAATAGGAATAATTCTTTAGCACTGTTAATCTGGCATGGTTAATCAAAATTTTTTTTATTATTGATGAGAAAAATTTCTTTCTGTCAGGCTCTGTGCTCAATGCAGAGTCTGCTTTGGATTCTCTCTCCCTCTCCCTCTCACCCCCCCCCCCCCTTTCTCTCTCTCAAGTAAATAAATAAAATTGTTTAAAAAATTGTTTTAAAAAAAGAGGGCACATGGGTGACTCAGTCAGTTAAGCACCAACTCCTGGTTCTGGCTCAGGCTGTGATCTTGTCATGGGATTGAGCTCAAATAAATAAATAAAATCTTTTAAAAAATGTTTAAAAAAAAATCTCTCTCAGCTTCATGACTCTGTTGATCATTTTATAAAAATATTTAGGATTGATGTCAAATTTGGGGAAAACTTGATCAGATTTCTTTAAAATATGAGCTATAAAACGTGGAAGAATTTCCTACAAATAGCTGGCTATATTATTTTCACACCATGTTTTTCCTCCACCACCTACACACTTTTGAAGCCAAGCATGCTAGTCCATAGACAGAAAGCAACATACTCTATAGCCAGCAGGTAGTAGCCATCTTCCTGGAAGCTCTTTCCACATCAGAACAGCTGGCACTAACTGAACTATATATACAGGGAAGTGACTGCAAAACATTAATTACATTCTGCTATACCCAAACTAAATGTATCCCAACTCAGTATCCCCCCGCCAGACCTCAAAAATGCATGCAGCCAGGGCACCTGGGTGGCTCAGTGGGTTAAAGCCTTTGCCTTTGGCTCAGGTCATGGTCCCAGGGTCCTGGGATCGAGCCCCGCATCGGGCTTTCTGCTCAGCGGGGAGCCTGCTTCCCTCTCTCTCTGCCTGCCTCTCTGCCTACTTGTGATCTCTGTCTGTCAAATAAATAAATAAAATCTTTAAAAAAAAAAATGCATGCAGCCATTTGGTACAAGGGAAAACTTGACAGAGAGGAAGTTGGCAGACAATAACAGAAACAAACAATGGTCTCAACCAATTTCAGTTGGGACTTGGCAGAGAGAGTTAACCAAGCAGATAGGCTGGG